AGGTTGCACTAGGAGAAAATCATAACTGTAAGGTTTAAACTCAAAAGAAAACTGGTTTTGGCCAGTAAATCTCTACCCGATTGTTAATTGTGAAGCTAAGGCATAAGGCTCAGTGATGACATCTAGGGCTGCAACTAATGATTATTTTGCAAATCGATGAATCTGTTCATTATTCCATTAATTACCGGTAATAAATAATCGGATAGCAAAAGGTTCCTTAAAGAACACTTTTTGCTAAATTAAACCAGGTGAAACTAAGACTTTTCCACTTGAGGAGTTCTGGATAGAACATAGTGACAGATAAAATAGTTTAGTTTAAATGCACAATGTTTACATATATATTTTTTTTTACAATTTTGGTATAATTTTTGCTCAAGGTGGGTTGCTCTTTTAGCTAAAAACACCTTTTAGAGTCCCTACACTCCAGTTAACGATTAATTGATTACTAAATTAGTTAACGGTTATTTCAATAATTGATTAATCATGATAAGTCCGATTATTTGTTCCAACCCTAATGACGTCCATCCTAGTTGTGTTCCTAATGACCTGTGGATATCTGACTTAAGAAGAATTAAATGGAAAACAAATAGTCCTGATCTTAAACTTGGCTTCTTCTGAACTTGTGAACATATTGTAATCAAGTTGAGGAGTTGTAATAAGTGTCTAACAGCAGAGGATTATTCCATTTTGCCTAGTGGCAAATACAGTCTGGATCAATTCATCACAATTCACTGACGGATTTTCCTAAATTGTATATGGTTGTTTTGTTTATATTTACATATAACCTGGTCCTTTTTCTGTTAACCTCTTAATGATCCTTTGAACCCTCCATGCTGCTTCAGAATAGTCAGCAATTTTTACAGGAAGAGTCTACAAAAACCTATAGCTCAAAGAGTTATAGGTGAAGCATGTGAATTTAATATTATAAGAGATGAGCATAAAGAGATGACCTACAGAATCCCCTCATGTATTCCTTTATGCAAAAGATGAGGCCAGTGCATATCAGCACGCCTAGTTCTTCTAAAGAATAAGCTGTTTTGGCTCTAATGAAGTCTCTGGACAGCTGCTCAGAAGGGTTGGAATCTAAAAACATGCTAATCCTGTATAGTACTAACACGACTGCTTTAGCCATGAAATTTGAATTACTGGTCTCTGAGTCATAGTGGGCAAAATATACATTTGTAAATGATGAGGTCCAAAAAAAGCTGCATAATCTGACTGGATTATTAGTCTACTGAGATGGTCATATACAGCGATAATGATGGCTTTGCTGCAAATGTTTTCTGGATTGGTTATGTTGACCTTAATGATCAAGAATGGAAAGGAAACGTTAACTAAAGAAATGTTTTTTTCATTTTTTTATAACATGTACAGCAGTTCATATCTGATGAATCCTGCACTCTGAATGGAATGGATTTTTATTTTCTGTTTCGAACGGTCTGCCTTGACTCGATGCCCTTTTATATAATTGCCGTGCCTGTGGCTAGTGAATGGTTTAAACCTGATCTGTACACTGAGTCTACAAATAATTAAAATCTGACCTGAAGAAAATGGTTGGCCCTCTCAGGTGATCGTTTCAGGTTGGGATCTATTTTCTGTTTTGTGTGTATTATTACCTATACAAAATGTGTGGTTAGCTTTCTAAACAAAATAAAATTTGAATTTATCATAGTGTTGCAGCATTAATTTCATACTTTGCCTTGTTATTTTTTTTTTAAGCTTTAAAGCTGACATTGGAGATAAGGTTTACTTCAGTTAATTACAATCTCTGGTCTTCAGTTAGCGATATTGTCTTTTTCATGTATGAAGGGCTGGCTGTTCGGTAAGTTCAAAACAGTTTCTAAGGCTACCCAATCTATCTTGAATATATCCTATTATAACCTCAATGAGTTTGCATTGCTAATATTACAAAATACCTCTCAGAATGCAACAAAATGTCGGTTACATATCCCAAGTTTAATGAATGTACATTTTCATGTTAGTAAAACACTCAGCATAGTTGGTTGAAGCATGACTGCAGTAGATTCACACACCCATAAAGATTAGTGTCCAGAAAGCTGTATTAAAGCTAGCCTTGCTTAAATAATTGGTTCACACTGTATACTTGTAGCATATTTAAAGTCCTACTAGAGTGGACTAATGGTGTCTTAGATAAAACCTATATTAAAACATCAAACATTTGGAAACATCTCCTTTCAGTAACACATATTGTAAACAACCCGCCTGAAAAACAAAGGAAAAAAATGTTGTCTAACATGAATAAACATAAAGAAGGTTGCATAAATGTACACAGGTTTTAAATTAATATATATATGCTACAAAATTGTCTTTGCCAACAGTTGTTTCTAGCAAAAACATTTCTAAGGTCAGAACAACACATGCAGAACTTAGTCAAAGTCTTGATAGTTCTCTCCCTCTATAGTACACCATGCAGGTCTGGGCAATAAACCAGATTTTTACTGGTACAGTCATTCACTACGATAACCGGCGTCAATTTTCCCATGTTGGTAAAAAAACAATTAAATTAATTCTCCAGTTTACCTGTGGATGGTATTTCCTTTCCTTTTAAGACACTGCAACAATGTGTAATCACGCTACTCCACCGATCCAGTCAGAGGCGTGAACAAAGAGAATGTCGGATGAGCCTAGTGGAGAAATCTAACACAACTGTAAACAAAATTACATTGGTTTATCCTGTGGAGCCGAGCTAGAGCAGAGATGAAGCTGAATGCACAGACAAGTCGAGAACACAGGTTGTTAGATGGGTTTTTTAGTGAGGGTGTACAAATTTAAACGATTCACATTGTTCTCACGCACAGTTTGGTGGCACCAAAATTACGCCATAGATGTTGAGCGAAAAAACACGAAATAGAAAGTTTTTCTGAAAATTTTCAGGGCTACCCAAAGTAACTCATCCAACCCTTTCCACTGCCTACAGCATAGCTTCGCTGTTGACTTTGAAGATTTGCAAAAGGCTCCATTACCTTTGCACAAAAATGTTTCCAAGAGAGGTAAAATTTTTCTCCTGTTCAATCAGACTTTGTCGAATGTTGAAACCCGAATGGGTACAAGATTTTACTATGTAATTGACAGTAATATGTAATATGATTTATTTCTGATTTATTCCTGCACATGCCTTTATTTCTGATAGAGGAGCCAGAACATTTGTCGTTATAGAGGTAAAACTGCCCAATTTATTGTGATATTGACTTGAGGTCATATCGCCCAGCCCTAACACTATGTTAATTTTATAGGCGCCCACACAAGAAAAAAGGTTGAACTTAGAATTAATAACAAAGAACAAGCTTAGGAAACACCCAACTGCAATTAGAGTGATGGAATGACGCTAAAATGTCCCTATTTTTGTTGAGTATCTATCAGCCTTTGTACTTAAAGTATAGACACTTTGCCCTGAATTCCTCCAAATCAGCCAGCTTCTGAAGATGTCTAGGTTGCTAAGCTTGATCCAGATTATGCACTGGTGTTGCACTTCTAAAACCTTAATAATTTTCTGTTGAAACCTTTCTTGGATGATTTAGATGTAGACATGGTGATGCTTTCACGCTAAGAAGTGAAATTCCACTTCTTGAAAAACTCCCGAAGGTTTTATGACACAACTGACATGTATTTAGAAGGCTTTGTAACTCCATCCAACTAGAAAGAAGCTAAAGTAAAGTCTAGGTAAAAATTATACCAAAGCATGATGCTACCACCAATGTGTTTCGGTATTGGTTTAGTTTCCATCTGGATGACAGGCATCTGTGCTTTGTTTGCAGGCAACTTTTGTATCCAAGCTGTGTAGCTTAAGACAAAAATGTTGGTCTAACAAGTCGCTGCCTTTCATAGTTTTAAATCACACTTTTCAAGTTTTTCAGTTACATCAACAACCAGGAACTGTCAGGTCAGGAATTGGTCATACAGTACATCATTCCCCCCAAAATGCATCTCTCTGAAAGCGTGAACCCTTCTGCCATTTGGGAGCATCATTTTCACACTTTTTCCCTTCCACACACCCCTTGGTTACCATTTCTTTTTAAGTTCATTCAGGATTTTGAAGCATGGGTTCATAGTCCTGACTGATAATGTTGGATTCTGAATCAGTGGGACATCTCTGAGGTTTCAAAAAACATATGAGAGAAACTGGACTTTTTTCTTTTTTGTGTTTGTTGTGTTGTTGCAGGATGGTTTGGCACTACATGGTTTTGTATTGCATAAAACTGTATAAATGAATTAACTAATTCATTTTAATTTATTCCTGGTACCCAGTGTGAGCTGGTCATCGTCATATCTCCACCTATATGCTCAACAGATAACAAAACTGTGTTCTTACCCCTATTACTTATAAATGCTCAAGTCACAGGCTTTGAAAATGCACATGGGAACCTTGCTTTTCCAACTCAACCAGGCTTAATCCTATAAATAGAAAAACTAGCAAGCTGCTATGGGCAAAAAGTTTGTATCTCCCAGTTTTTTTTCAGTCTCTTATGAAGAGTCATCTCAGATTTGTCATTTATTCATCAGCTTCCTTGTCTTTGTTCCCCCTAAATTCATCATTTATTTTTAATTCGTAGTGAAGAAGTTTTCCAGCTGTAATTTGATTTCTTATAAGCAAACATTTTAGTTTTGAATTCACCCAGGCAAACATTTTTTACCTAATTCATCTGTGTCTGAATATTTTAACATAGATTAATATGTATGAAAAGTCAGCTTTGTTTCTTTTTTTCTTAATTAATAATTCCTGTCAGCAAAGTTTTAGTATAAAAAGTATGTATTTTAGGCCTATTTTTATGTTTAATATCTTCCAAATTGGTTACTGATTATTAGATCTGACTCAGAAATCATTGGGTTCATCAGAGGGACAAGTAGCTGAGAACAGGTAGGTAGTGAACCGCTTTGTGGCATGTTGTGGAAACCATCATCTGATCCTGAATGTCAGTAAAACAAGGGAGATGATTGTAGATTTCAGAAGAAACAGGAACAAGTTGAATTCTGTTAACATCATGGTAGAAGAAGTGGAGGTAGTGGAGGAGTATAAATACCTTTTGTGTTCAACTGGACAAAAAACTCGGCTGTGACACAGTTTACAAGAAGGGACACAGCAGACCGTACTTCCTATGAAAGCTTAGGTCCTTCAGTGTTTGCGGCAATATGCTGCACATCTTTTATAGGTCTGTTGTGGAGGGTGTGGTCTCTCTCTTCTATCCTCTGCTGGGGTAACAGCATCAGAGCAAATTACTTTTAAAAAAAAGACAAATAAATCTATATAAAGAAACAAATATTATGGATAACGGTGAGCATGCTCTTAATCAGGATGTTAAACAACAACAGGATGTGTTCAGTCAGAGGCTTCTCTGGATCCGTTGTAAAGACGGAGAGCTACAGAAGATTCTTCCAGCCAACACCTACAGCAACTCTGTGAAAAAGAATCCCATTTAAATAATCAGTTACTGCATTATTTAACTTCACTTTTGCATTAATTAGGTATTTTTTAATTGAATTGCACTGATCTGTTGTTTGTTGATTGTCGCTGAATGTCGAGAGCCAAAACTGATTAACTGCTAGTTGTATCTGTTTATGATTTTGAAAAACAACCAGGAATGATGTTGTTCCGTTTGTGGCTGTCGTGACTCTTGTTGACAATTGTTCCAATTTAAGCAGCTCAAAGCAGCCCTGCATCATGAGGCTGCTGCCAGTGTGTTTCAGTGATCTGCTCTTCTATCTGACCTTAAAGATTTTTGCTCTACAGTTAGCAGAACCTGTATTTACTCTGCACACAAGCCACTGCCACCACCATGTTTGACAGTGAATGCGATGTGCTTTGGTTGATGCACAGTGTAGCATTTTCAGTAAACACATTTAATCTCCAATGGAAATGCCTTTAGTACCAGAAGTGCTAATCGTCCTGTTACTTGCTCGTGTTGCTATTCCTCGTAACTAGGGCTGCAACTAACGATTATTTTAAAAATCGATGAATCGGACGATTATTTTTTCGATTAATCGATGAATCGGACAAAAAATATTTTTTATATTAACCTCTTTATTCCAAAATAAACATTTTAGACAGAACAAACAAGCACACAAGTACAGGTTGCTCATTAACTGTACTGGTGCAATATGAAAAATAAATGTTTGTGTTAAAACTACGCAAACTTACATGAGAAATGTAGCTGTACATCCACAAAATATAGGCTACTTTGTTTCATAAAGCGCAAAAAAAGACATTTTTGTTTTTAAAGCCCCTAAGGGGTTCAAACAATCCCCCCCCCCCCCATTTCAACAATGAGGTTTTTTTAGACTAGAAGAGTTCTGCCTTTTAAGACAGGAAAGTATAGCAGTTAAAGTTGCTACTTGAGAAAATACTGAACCATAGAGATAAAAATAGCCCTGTGATTCAAATTATAAATTGTATTTGGAATAAAAATGAGAGAACTAGGGGTGCTAAAAAACACATCCTCCAAAGACAGATATTTACATGGGAATGTGGCATATAATTAATTGACATATTACTGATCTTGCTGGATTTTATTCTGCTTTACTTCCATAAATTGCAGGATCTTCTTTACTTTATCTTTGCCAAAAGATTTAAACTTTAAAAGCCTTGCCCTCATAATTTGCAAGTTAATTTATTTATAAAGTAAATGTAAACGCTGCTTGAGCTAATTCAAATGAAATTAAAAGTAAAATAAGTAGCCAACCTTATCACTGTCTGTAACCTACTAACACGGTAAGGAAAGCATCAGATGAGCTACCTGAGAAACTAACGTAACGTTTCCCCACTTTAAAACCAAACAAACATGGTGGTTCCGTGCCATGTTAATTTCTTTTGAAAAAAGTTGCATGTTATCACTTTTTTCGCTTTACAAAGCGCAGGCTATTTTAATTATTTTGATCAATTTGCGCCGTCAATCCCGGTGCATGCGCGCTTCATTTGCAGTCTGGACGCTGAGGCTCTGACTGCAGCGCTGAGAGGGACTCCTGCGGGAGCGGGGGGAGGCGCCCCACGGCAGAGTAGGAACGATACATGCTTTCACGTAAGAGTCTCCAAAAGCCGCCAGTGACACCGAAAAAAGTCGCCAGATTTGTCGCTAGTCGCTTTTTTGAAAAATAGTCGCTCGAGGGGTCTGAAAAGTCGCTGAGTTGGCAACACTGCACCTGCGGTGCTGACTCGCTCTGCCATATTTTTTTTTCTTCCTCTTTCAGTCAAGAGGCAGTGATGACGGCGCGGCGGATGACGCAATAATCGCGCGACACAACTAATCAATGATGAAATTCGTTGCCAACGCTTTTAAAAGTCGATTTTTATCGATTCGTTGTTGCAGCCCTACTCGTAACGTATAAAATATGGTACCATTACAGTTGATGCCATGAAACAAAATCTATTATATTCTTCATTCCTTAAGCTGACCTATGAATGTTTTGGACGAAGGTTGACTGATATTTAGAACTGCTCATAATTTGTTTTGGCTTTATTCATAACCCAGTTTATACTAAAGAGCAGCAACCTCACTTGATGATGGTTTGGATTTTTTGTTGATCGACAGTGTGGGTTTTTAAGTATGTCTGCCATTTAAATGGAAGCTGAGTGAAATATCTGAACCTTCTGTTTAGTTTTATGAGTTTGTTTTTCTTATTTCCAGGTGTCCTTCCTCAAACAACTTGCCTGAACATAAATTGGATATATTTCATTCTTAACGTTATCTTCACATTTGTTTAATGTTCAAGTCAGAGAACATAAACACCAAACCATCATTTATCTGCAATAGCCTAATTGACATCAAAATCCTTGTTTTAAACTTAATTTAATGGCATTTCCTCTGCTAATGGCTCTCTAAAGTTTTTTTTTTCTTTGATAGCACTAGTGTGCATGAATATGTAGTTATATGTCAAATTGCACTTACACCTGTGCGTTTAGCACAGCGAGTCGGCGCTGAGGGATTTTATCTCTAAAACAGCCTGTGTTTCTCCTTCCCATTAAAAAGCCAATTTCTTTTTAATAGCAGCAACAGCTGGAGCTGACAGGGCCAATGTCTGGCGGTGCTGCAAACACCTCCTTAGCTGTAATGCAGGTGCAAAACACGGCTTGTTGGTGTATAATGCAAAACACCCCAGCAGTGGGAATCGCATCCTTACTCATGTTTTAAGTGCTGAAAAAAAAAAAGCTGTTTGTGTACCATGTTAGCTGTCTTTCATTCATACCTTCCAAGTAAAATTTATTCTCCCTCCGCCTTGCTTCTCCCAGTGCACCTGGCTGAGTCCCCGGAGATGGCTAAATCTACAAGAGTACCAGAGCAAGAAGCTGATGCAGGACAGCGGCGTGGCGGTCCAGCGCTTCTACGTGGCTGACACAGCTTCTGAGGCCCAGGAGGCTGCCAAGAGACTCAGTGAGTAGAATATACCCATACAGTATACTGCTTGCAGAATTATTAAACAATTTTGAAAGATTAATGTTATTGTTGTACAACTGCAGTCCTCAGAGTCAGTTAAAAGTTTCACTAAACCTGAGATCTGAGGAATAGTAATAATAGAAGAATGTTTGTGTACAAGTACAAGGGAAGCTATTACAGCGCAGCATTCTTTTAGAATTAACTAAAAACTTCTACGTCTCACTCATATTTTTATCTATTAAAGTGCTAGTAATCAACTTCAAATGTGCATGCTTATATTTTTTACTTAAAGAATAAAAATCAGTGAACATTGCAGCCATTCTCCTTTACTAACAGTTAAAATGCTGTGATTTAAAAATGCTAAACACGAGAAGATCTCTTTGAAAACAAAAAGTACACTTGTGATTGCTTTTTGCTTTTATCTTAAGTACATTAACTTTAGCTGAATAGAATGATCATAGACACAACAGAACAATAAGTTGAAGATAGCAAATCATTAGTGGTACCGTCCCTTACTGCCTACTTTGCCTATTCTGCATAGCAGTCCATGAACACTTCAGCAGTTGTCCATAACAAAACCACTTTTCCAACGCTCGCTAGTTCCCCTGTTTACATTATTCTCGCTTTCACCCTATCCTTTCTTTGCCTGTAACAATGGCAGCTACATTTGCTGTGATCAGTGGGTAAAAAGTAGTTTAAATATGTTTTTAAGTGAGAAAGTCCACCTGAAAACTTAATCTGTGCGATCAGTTCAAGATTACCATCCTGCCTTCAAATATTATTTCACTGTCGGAGCCGCTCAGACCCTAGCTGTCACTAGGAATCCTGTTCAACAGCAGCCTCTGGCTCGGTTGCCTCTTTGCAGTTTTCTACTACAGTTCGCGGCGGCTGGAAGTCGTTTTTTATGTGTAATCCAAACTGTAGGCGAGAGAATAATAAAAGCGAACACATTTTGCCGACACGTTTTGACATTTTAAGTTCATTTAGGCATTGATAAACTGTTTCAGAGGACTGATCGTAGCGATCTCCATCAACAGCGCTGTCTTTGTCTCCCTGTCAGCACCCAGATCAGCTTCTCTGATTCAAGCAGCAAAAGTTCTCCAGCAGCAGCTGCTTCTGAAGCTCGTTGCATGCATTAGATGCTCTGAAGTTCATGACGCGCTGCTCCACCTGCTCAGACGCATTGCTCCTGTTTTTCAAAATGTGCTGTGGGACCTTTTTGCCTCGCCAAGATGTGCGGCAACCATTGATTTTGCATGTAAACTGGCAGCTTGTGCTGCCTCTGCTGCTTGCAGTATGAACGTAGCATAACATCGGTATCTATTGCTATTTCAGGAGTGCTAAAGATCTTAAACGATTTTTTACATTTCTTTTCGGCCCATTTTTTGGAATAACAGAGGCTGTTTGTCGTTCATACAGAGCTTAACATAGGATGTTGGTATTCTTAGGCCACTACTCTTTAATTACACAACTCCAATAATGATATATATATAATTCCTCTGACAGGCATAAGTAATGTTACCTTTAAATTAAATGTTTAGTAACAATGTACAGGGCGGTGAGTGACATGGAGCTGTATTACCAGGTGAGAAAACACTGTGCTGTCCTCCTAATGGGCTGACTGACAGCTATAAAATAAATTAGTTAGCAATGAGGACATTTTAAGAAACGTAAAGGACAAAAGTCATTCTCAGCCCATTCCTTTTAATTTCTAGTAATAAGAGACAAAGTCGAGGAGAAACCTGTAAAATTTCCTGGCTGCTCAGTGACTGTTTGTTTCTGTTAACATGAGTTAATCAGATGTATAAACTTCTTCACTATGAATAAAAATTTATAGTAAAGAAGTCCTTTAACATAAAGATGCCAAAGAAGATAAATGTATATTTAAGAATGCACCAATCCACATTTTTTAACTGTCGATTCAGATTTCCATACCTGCAGATGCTGATACCTTTCTAAATACCAGCTACTAGCCATGTTTACATCTAAATGTCATACATTTTGAAGAAACTCTTCAAATGTTAAAAAAGAAAAAGGAAAATGTGTTTCCGTCACTGATCTCTACTTATTCACTTGATTGCTGATCGTACATGGTGCTGTTGAGGTCACCAGCCGTCATATTGGTACTCCCTGATTAGACAGGTCGGAATGTAAACAATACGTGCGCTACAGCATCAAACCATGATGATGTTCTCATTATCAGGGGGTCTCAAGACTGGAAAATAAAGCTATATTCATTGCTTTAACACACACTTGCTGATTCATAGCATCAGTATATCACTGTAATTTATGGTAAAATGGGCACATCACATTGCATATTCAGTATGAAGTCTATAAATCATCTAATATAGAATATTATTCAAATCCATCACAAGAAAATTTGTGAGTTAATGGAGCATAATAATACTGCGGTCAGATATTAAGACTATTACACACGCACACACTATCTGATGATGTGCAAAAAAAATCTAAATTGATGACGTACATGTGATATACATGTATTGATTACATTGTTATGGTAATTACATTACATTACAGGCATTTTTATGGAGCTATTCTGTGAAAGTGGGCAGGACCAAGATGGCGGCAGGTGACTTCAGTTTTTTCGGTCCAGTGAATAAATAGAGATCAGTGGTTTCCATCCTTTGGAGCAAATTAACCAGGCAATGCAAAAGTAACGCTTGGCTGCAAGAAACAGGAGGTAGAGGCTGCAAATCGGATTGAAACACAAATCATTAATGGACCGAGGTTTCTATCGGGCAAGCTGGCTTACTTTGTCATGTCAGCTTGTATAAGCAGTGGTTTATGCCATCCAGAGACGTAGAAAGAGAAGTGTGATTCTAACATTTGTATTAAGGACGGAGAAACAGCCGATCATTCAGGTGAGGTAATCAGGTTTACTAAATTGGAACTTATTCAATGCATTAGTTTTTATCCCCACTTTAGCACATTTACATTTACACCACCTAAGCCAAGGGTAAAAACTGTTTTGCGAAATTTAGTCATAATTTTAATGTTCCTGCTTCCAACAAGCTCTTCTAATGCAATACTTCAGAATTAGCAAAGAAAGATTAATGGAAACATGTTAAATCTTGATTTAGCTTGAAAAGGCTGTCATAAACTTCTCTCTATAACCAAGTATGGCATGTTTGAATAGACCAAATACATGTGGCCCAATGTATTTGGTCCTTTTTCAGCAATACCTGCTTTAAAATCTTTTTCAGTGCCAGTATCCGTGTGGTTATTTATTGAATCACTGCATTTCGATTCATCATAATAACTAAACATAATGACCAAAATTACTACAAAATAAAATAAGAGTTTCAAACACTCTCAGTTCTTGTGTTTTGCTGCTTCCTTACTGGGAACCTTTTGCAGGTTTTCAGCTCCTTCTGTTTCACCATCATATTTCTTATGTTTTATTAAAAACCAGTGCAATAACTGTGTAGCTCGTATCAAACTCATATTCTTTGGTAAACAAAATCAAATATTTGAAGAGGTTCATAGTGGGGAGATAAGGCCCTGTATATTTGAATTTTTCTTTTTTTTTTAATAGATGGATATTTATTAACTTGTTGTCTACATATGATGAATTGTTGCCATACATATTTACTGTACTCTTTATTTGTTTAGTATAGATCTTGAAATATTTATAGTAAAAGTGAAATTGCAATGCTGAATACAGTAAACAGTTTGAGCCTTTGTTATCTTTTACTGTTGATTCTCTGCTGCTCTACGTGCAAATGAGTGTGTTTAATAAGGGCTGAAGCTTTATCAAGTTTAATCGCATCTTTTTGCTGTTTATTTGTATGTATGAGCCAGGGTTTTTTGACCTCAGTGACTGTGCCCGCTCTGCTTTTCATCACAGAGCTTATCCGCACTAATTTGTTGCACAACCTTTCGCATTGAGTTTCTCACGCTTTGCATGGGTATTTTATTATTGTCTTCTTTCTGTTATTGTCTGGTGTTCGTTCTTTGTGCATTTTGGATTATCGCCTGCATACACTTGCACAGAGCTTTGGAAGGAAGGAACTGAAATTGTACTTGTTCTACAAGCTACTGCAACAATGCATTATACTTGCATGAACAAAGAGGGTTTAGCATCCATTTGTATGCACCCACACACAGCGTTCTCCCCAGTCTCTATTCTTTCCTTTTTCTGCTTTGCTACTGTCACATCCAGCATGTGTTCCTGTCTTTAGATTTATATTTTATTCAGTGTTCTTTTACAAATACAGCAACTGCTTTTTGATGGCGCATCCAGATTGGTTTTTAGCCAGCAAGGTGCCCCTCTGATCGCCGCCCAGGAGCTCAAGAGCCCGGGGTTCTGCCTTCAGTGGTTCTGTTTATGAAGCAGAAAAACATAAACTGAATAGTAGAGGGATCATATATATTTTCCTGACAGCCCTTATTGCTGTAAGGAATGAAACGGAGAGAGAAAACTCCAGACAGATGAATTACTAGAGAACAGACAGCTTAATACAAACCAGGTGAGACTTGTATAGATAGAAATTCTGTGAGGAGCGAATTATGAGCTATTCTCAATTGGATTTACATTTGGACTGGGCCATTATGACACATTAATCTTCACCCACTGAATCTCTGAATATATCTTTTATGGTTTTCTGGTCAGCTAATAACTGACATTTTAATCACTTAGATGAAACACATTGTGATGTGTGACTTTGATTTTCTCATAAAAGTAAAAGCAGGAATAAAAGAATAACTAATGTTGATTAAAGGATCATTAAACTTACAGGGTGTGATATTTACAGGGATTTACTGACATAAATGGTGTATATACAATCTATATGTATGTTATTATATCCTATGGACTGAAAAATCTCAATCTTTATGTTTGCCTTAGAATTTGCTATTTACAATTACATAGGAGTGGGTTCTTATTTGTGGAGACATCTGCGCTACAGCAGCACAGAGTTGACAAAAAACTGACTAAAGATCACAATCACGCTCAAATGGGAATACACCAAGGTATA